CATGCTGACATTAGGGACCAGACCGCCGGACAAATCCCCGCCATCACAGATTCCCAGTCCCAGCCTGCTAAGGACCCACTGGCAGCTCATTCCCCCCCAGCTGGGATACAAACCCAGGCTTCCTGGTTGCAGGACTTACCACTTGAGCTAGCCAGCTGCTATCTTCAGGATGTTCTATGTTCAGAAGTACTCTTTAGTTTCCATCTCAGTCCTCGAAGCTCAAACACACCGGCGTCATGGGGAGGAACAGCTCTGCTGTTTAATCCAGGAACGTTTATGGAACATTGTTGCTTTAGGTTCAGGGTGGCTGAACTTGGGTGTCTTATTCTGCTTCTAGTTCTTACTTTATGGGGCTGTTTTTCCCTGATGGGGAGCATTCCACTCTGATTTTACTGTCCAGGGTACCAACATTGCTGCCGGTCGGGCCATCGGGGTTGCCGTAGCAACAGGGGTGCAAACAGAGATTGGGAAAATCCGCGATGAGATGGCCTCCACCGACCCTGAAAGAACACCGCTGCAGCAGAAATTGGATCAGTTTGGGGAGCAGCTGTCTAAGGTCTGACTTTGACATTTTAACCCGATGCTGTGAAGTCTATAGAGTAATGATCTATGGCTCCTCGTGTCGTAATCTCCAGGTCATCAGCGTTATTTGTGTGGCTGTGTGGGCCATTAATGTGGGACACTTTAATGACCCGGTTCATGGAGGCAGCTGGCTGAGAGGAGCTGTTTATTACTTCAAGATCGCCGTTGCTCTGGCTGTGGCTGCTATTCCAGAAGGTAACGTCACACAAAGCTTCCTCCACTTCACACTTCAACTCTGTGTTTTCTGTTCTTCACTTCCTGCTGGAGTTATTTTGTCACCTTTGATGGGCTTCTCTGGTTGGATCTGAACTCAAGCAGTCTCTTCATTTCTCTCCCAGGCCTCCCAGCTGTCATCACCACCTGTCTGGCTCTGGGTACTCGAAGAATGGCCAGGAAGAACGCCATCGTCCGCAGCCTACCATCAGTGGAGACCCTGGGATGCACCTCTGTTATCTGCTCAGACAAAACAGGAACCCTGACAACAAACCAGATGTCAGTATGCAGGGTAAGCTGTGGATCCGACGTTTTCCTCACATTCTGTGTCTGTGTGCAAATCAAAAACCCATCATTTAAATCTTTAGTTTAATCCTTTGTTTATGGAGGCAGGAATGGCCTGTATTAAAACTCTGAGTGACAGCAAGGCTGTTTGCTCCAGAACAAGTCAGCTGAGGTTAACATTAACCTTTAAAGAGAATGGGAAGATTTTAAACCATTTCTGTCTGTGTTTTATCATCAAGCAGATTCCTAACTGCTACATTTTTGAATCCTTGGTTAATAGCAATAGTCGTCTAATAGTTGGCCAGCTGACTGGCGGTGTGCAGCAACATGTGGGGGATGGACACCCTTTACACTATACCTCACACTGCCAGTGCCAGTGACCCTGTAGGTCAGTGGTAGTTTAAAACCCAGAGCAAGATGATAAATGTTACAGAACTTTTCATCTCCATGTTCAAAAGGCAACTTGTTGAAGCATTTTCATTTAGAAACGAACCTGGAGTATAAAATCCACCTGTCTTCAATTCAATTCAGTTTACTTCTATAGGGCCAATTCACAACACA